TTGCTAGATCAAAGGGTAGCCCCTAGGGCATAGTTCTAAATTGTTTTCCAGAAAGATTGGACTAGTTCACAACTCCACCAATTTGTTAGTTCACATATTTCCCCTCATCTTTTCCAGCATTTGTAATTTCTGATAGGTTTGAAGTGTGGTACCTCAGAGTTATTTTTATTTGCATTTCTCTAATCAAGTGATTCAGAGCATTTTTCATATGCCTGTAGATGGCTTTGATTTCTTCTTCTGAGACCTGCCTGTTCATATATCTTGACAATTTGCCAAATGGGAAATGGTTGTTAGTTTTATAAATTTGACTCAGTTCCCTATATATTTGAAAAAAGAAGCCTTCATCAGAGAAACTAGCTGTAAATTTCTTTTATATTCTTCATTGTTTATGGTATTTTTAATCAAAATGTAGTTTCCCTGATTATCTCTTTTAATTAGATCTATTTTTGCTTTTGTTTTGTTTGAGATCATGATCACTACCCCTGCCTTTTTTACTTCAGATGAAGCATAACAAATTCTGTTCCATCTCCTTATGTTAACTCCATATGTCTTTCTGTTTAAAATGTGTCTCTTGTAAACAACATACTGTTGGATTCTGGTTTCTAATTCATTCTGCTATCTGCTTTCCTTTTATGGGGGAACTCATTCCATTCACAGTTATGTTTGCTAACTGTGTATTTCCCTCTGTCTTATTTTCTTCTGTTTATCCTTCTCTCTCTTTTTATCCTATCCCTCTTCAAAAGTTTGTTTTGCTTCTGACCCCTGCCTCTCTTAATCCACCCTCCCTTTTGTCATCCCTGATCGTCTCCCCTTTCTCTTATCCCTTTTCCTCCTATTTCCCTCCTGGGTAAGATAGATTTCCATTCCCATTTGAGTGTATGTGTGTCCCTCTTTGAATCAACTCTAATGAGTGTTTCAAGTATTACCCACCACCTTCTACCCTCCTCAATTTTCCCCTCCATTGTAAAAACTCTTCTTTGCGTGCCTCTTTTATGTGTTAATTTCCCCCATCCTACTTTTCCTTTCCTTCTTCTCCCAAAGCATCCCTCTTTCACACCCCTTCATTTTTTTTTTTGGAGTTCATCACAATGTAATTGACTCACACCCATGCCATCTATGTAAACTGCTTCTAACTGCCCTAATATTGATAAAGTTCTTGGGAATTACGTGCATCATCTTCCCATATAGGAATGTAAACAATTTAACTTTATTGAGTCCTTATGATTATATTTTCATGTTTACTTTTTTTGCTTCCCTTAAGTCTTGTGTATGAATATCAAATTTCTATTCAGCTCTGGTCTTTTCATCACTAATGCTTGAAAGTGCTCTATTTCATTAAATATCTATTTCACCCCTTGAAGGATTATACTCAAGTTTTGCTGGGTAGATTATTCTTGATTGCTATCCTAGCTCCTTTGCCTTCCAGAATATTTGAATTGTTTCTTTCTGGCTGCTTGAAATATTTTCTCCTTGACCTGTAATATCTGAATTTGGCTCTAATATTCCTGGAAATTTTCATTTTAGGATCTCTTTCAGGAGGTGATCAGTGGACTTTTTCCATTTCTATTTTACCCTCTGGGATAGTTTTCCTTAATAATTTCTTAGAATATGATGTCTAGGCTCTTTTCTGATCATGGCTTTCAGGTAATATAACAATTCTGAAATTATTTCTCCTCAATCTATTTTCTAGGTCAGTTGTTTTTCTGATGAAATATTTCACATTATCATCTTTTTTTTTATTTTGACTTTGTTTTATTTTTTCTTGAAGTCTCATGGAGTCATTGGCTTCTAGTTGCCCAGTTCTAATTTAAAGAAATTATTTTCTTCAGTGAGCTTTTTTATCTCTTTTTCCATTTAGCCAATTCTGCTTGTTAAGGAGGTCTTTTTTTCAGTGATTTTTTTTCAGTGAATTATTCAGTGAATTTATCTTCAGTAAATCTTATACCATTAGGCCAATTCTGCTTTTTAAGGTGTTATTTTCTTCTGTATTTTTTGTGCTTCTTTTACCAAGATGTCAATTCTCTTTTCATAATTTTTTTTTGCATCACTCTCATTTCTTTTCCCAATTTTTTTCTCTACAATTCTCTCTTTCTATAACACTTCCAGGAATTCTTATTGGGTTTGTGTCAAATTAGCATTTTTCTTTGAGTGTTTGGTTATGTCTGTTTGTTCATTGTTATCTTCCAAGTTTGTGGTTTGATCTTCCCTGCCACTATAGTATATAGCTTTTTATGGCCAAGTTCTTTCTGTTGTTGTTGTTGTTGTTATTGTTTTCCAGCCTATTTCTTGACTCTGAACTGTAAGTTGAAGTTGGGCTCTGTTCACCTAGGTGTAAAAAAAACACTATCCTAAACACCAAGCTTCTATTTATTTATTTATTTGTGTATTCATTCATCCATCCATCCATCCATCCATCCATTCATTCATTCATTTATTCATTTATTCATTCATTTACTTATTTATTCATTTATTCATTTATTTATTTATTTGTTTATTTATTTTTGCTGTTCTTTTAGAGCTAGTTCTGGGGATCTGCAAGTTTTTTGGTGCTTCCAAGGCGATGTGATCTGGGGAGATGTGTGGTCATTGCTTTCCTGGTCTGTGCTCTAGTTTACCCAGGAAGGGCCCCTGCTACTCTGCAGTTGCAAGTGTTAGTGCTATTCTTGGCCTTGGAACTGTGCCCAGAGTCCCTGCTCCCTTTTGACTGACCACAAGTGCTCTGCTCCACCCTGGAATTGTGACTCAGAACTGCATATAGGCAATAGAGTTGCCAATCAATGCCAGCTGCAAAGGGTCCCCTATAATCTCTTTCTGACCAGTTGTCTGACCCCCATACTTCCTTGGATGTGAGCTCCTGAAGCTGCTGCTGCTGCTCCTACTATCACAGCCACCTTCAAGGCCCACCACTAGTTCTGCTGCCACCTACAATCCAGGCTAGCCCCCACCCCAGACCTTTCCTGCCAAACTTCTAAGATGTCTTAGGCTGAAAAAAATGCCTCACCTTGGCCTTTTCTTGTCTCTGATACTCCAAAATTCAAAGTCAGGTGTTATTTTAAAGTTGTTTTGGGGGGGGATGTTGGGAAAGTTTAACAGGGTTGCTGTCTCTAATCTGTCATCTTGGAACTATTCCCCCACCCCACCTTTCATTCACTTTTTTTGGGGAGAGGGGCTAAGCAATGGGGTTAAGTGATTTGCCCAGGGTCACACAGCTAGTGTCAAGTGTCTGAGGCCCTATTTGAACTCAGGTCCTCCTGACTCCAGGGCCAGTGCTCTGTCCACTGTGCCATCTAGCTGCCCCTCTCATTCACTTTTAAGTGGTATCACCCTAGGTTCCTTGAGTTCTTGTAATGATTTCTATTTCCCAGGGATAAGTCCCTTTGACATGAACACTGAGTCTGGCATCTCAGGATACAACGTTAGTGGCCTCAGAGCCCCTGAGCCTGGGCTATCTTGATGTGAGCACTGCAGCAGGGTAGAGCTGGTTGGCACCAAACTAGTCACTTCCTGCTGCCACTCCCTGGGGCTTTCAAGATTCCTGGAGGACTTTCTAACCACCCTGGAGCTTTCTCAGAAGAGTCTCCACTCTCGCTGCTTCTGAACACATAGCTTTCGCGTATCCTTTCTCTGATGCTCACTTTGTCGGAAACACCCTTGATCCTACTGTGTATGAGCTTTGAGCCAGACTGAATGTCCCCAATAGGTGCTTCAATCCTGCCTCATGTTCTATGTTTTCCTTTTCCCTCACCATCTTAGTCAGTCAACAAGCATTTATCAAGCACCTACTATGTGTCAGATACAAAAAGACAAAAAGTAGGTCCTGATCTCAAGGAACTCACAGTCTAAAGGGGGAGAGGACATGCAAACATCTATGCATAAAGAAGATAAAAGTAGGGGGAAAAAAAGAAAGAAAAAAAGAAGATAAAAATAGAGATTGAATTAGAGATAAACTGGGGCAAACACTATCATGAAGGAGGATAGGGCAAAGCTTCTTATAGAAGGTGGGATTGTAGTTGAGAACTTGAAGGAAACCAGGGAGGCCAAGAGATGACATGCCAGGAATATGGAATAGCCAGTACAATTCCCAGAGTTGCCAAATAGAGTGTCTTGTGTGAAGAAAAGCTCCTCTGGCTGGACTCCAATAATAATGTGAGGGAGAGAAGTACCAGTGGCCAGTGTCAATTCTGATGGGGTTGTATCTTCTCTTATAGTGATTTGCCAGTAACCTAGTTTCTTTTACACGTACTCTGATTTTGTTTGGGCTCTAGACTTTAGGGTCTCACAGCAGGGCTACTTTGGTGCATGAGTTAGTTTTATCCCAGGCTCCCTGATCCAATTGCCATTCAGTCCCTACCACTATGGTCATTTAAAACCCCACCTTTGCTCTGGTCTCTAAGCCCAATCTAATACTGGGAAATGAAAATATCAGAACCCTTTGAGCCATAGCTAGATGTCTCACCATGAAGTCAGCCTTGCTCCTGCTCTTGGCCCAATCTTATATCCCTAGATTCAGTAATACTGGTCTTGTCTCTCCTCCCTTATCTCAACTCCCCATCCCTGAGGCTCCTCTTGGTTCCCTTAGTTTAAATTCCAAATCTTCTCAGGATTAGGTCGCTCACTCTGAATTCCATCCCGGGCTCTGTAGCTGGGTCTCTACCATCATCTGCCTGACCACTCTGGAATCATCTGCTATCCTGCCTGGACCTCTATACAGTCCCCTCCTGACACTGGCTGCTAATTGAGACATCTGCCACTCACTTATTCACTAGACCTCCCTGAGGCTTACTGTCAGCCTGCCTAGACTTCTCTGTATTACTTGATGCTGGACCCATCACCAATTTCCTTGTCTGCCCCAATTATTTGATCTATTCTCTCTAAGATCCCTTCTAGTTCTAAAATATGTGATTCTATTGTATACAGTTACAGATATCCTGGGCCACAGGGTTCTTATGATGCCAAATGGAAGAACCATTGTGCTTACCTGTCTTACCTTTCCTTACCAGATTTATTTTTACTGGCTATGTCGAGACACACATGCCTTTGAATGGTTTGCAGACCTGCTGCAGTCACTAGAGACCCAAATGCAGACGAAGGACAACGCTGATTTTCTCAGCTACAACATCTACCTTACTGGCTGGGATGAATCTCAGGTAACAACAAAACCCAAGTGGGCCTCTTACTTCTCTACAAGAGTGCCTGAACTGCCCTTCTGTCCTGCAATGTCTATTTGGAAGTCATTTTGGAAGATGTGTCATCAAAAGTTCCTATCCTGGGGCAGCTAGGTGGTGCAGTAGATAGAGCACCGGCCCTGGAGTCAGGAGGACCTGAGTTCAAAGACAGCCTCAGACACTTGACACTTCCTTGCTATGTGACCCTGGGCAAGTCACTTAACCCCAGTTGCCTTGCAAAAAAGAAGAAGAAAGGAGTTCCTGTCCATCTAGTCTCTCTCACTGCTTACCCCTGATGGACCATAAGACACCATGAGCAGGCTGGAATTCTCCATGAAATCTATAGTCTCTGGGGCAGAACAACCCCTCGTTACTAATAACCTTAATAATGGTAACAATAATAATAGCTAGCGTTTATATAGCACTTTATTGTTTACAAAGCACTTCACATATTCTAGATGGACCAGAAGTCTTAGTGCAGTTTTAAGCTTTAATAATTATATTATTTGATGCTTACAACAACCCGGGGAGGTGTATTATTATCCCTCTTTTACAGGTGAGGAAACTGAGACACAGAGGTTACATGATTTTTTGAGAATCACATGGCTAAAGTGTCTGAGGCAGGATTCAAACTCACAACTTCCTGATTCCAGGTCCAGAGCTCTATCCACCGCACCACCTACCTGGTATTGACAACCTTCTCGGTCAGGCTTTACACCATTACATTTTATATTTTCACTCTGCATCAGGCTTTTTATTTTTCCTAATAAACTATAAGCTCTTTCCGGGCAGGGACTGCCCTGATACCAGATATCTGGTATCACTTCGTCAATGTTTGCTGGTATTAATTGGATAGGAGCTCTATAGTCTAGTGTTTTAACCAACTGAACCATTCACTCCTGGAGTCATTGAAGGATAGAAGATTAGCCCCAAAAGCGGGAGCTTAGAGATCCTTTCGTTCAAGGGTTCTTAACCACTTTTTGTACCATGGACCCCTTTGGCAGTCCAGTGAAGCCTATGGACCCCTTCTCGGAATAATAGTTGTTCCTTGCATTTGAAGGAAATTTGAATGTGAAGGAAATGATAAATTGAAGAAAATGAAAGTTCAGTTAGAGGGTACTGAAAATGAAGATGTAATTTATTTTCTTATCCAAATTCATGGACCCTTTGAGATCTATCCATGGACCCTTTGGGACTGTGGGATCCCCAGGTTAAGAAGCCATGATTTAGTTCAATTCTTTCATTTTACAAATAAGGAAACTGTGTCCAAGAAAGGTTAAATAAATAATTTATCAGTGTCACACAGGAGATTATTGAGAACTGGGCCTCAAACCCTGGGCCTCCTCTCTTCTACGCCAGTGTTCTTTACAGTTTGTTATACCACATATCCTCAGATTGGCTTATTCACCCTCCAGCATGCTAAGCAAATGTTTATTTCTTTGCCCTAAACTATTTCACTGTGGGCGGTTTAAACTGTCACCCTAAGGGTTGCTTCTGACCTCAAACCTTGAGCAACATCTGACCCTCCTGGATAGGAGCTCTGTGCAAGTCTATTTGGTCTCAGAGGGAGTGGTATTCAGACTACCACCCTCAAGCTCTATGTGGCTCTTTTACATGTAATCTATAGCTCTCTGGGACCACTAATTTATGAATTAGAATAGTCTATTTCTTGGGTTACTCCCCCCTCCCACTCTGGGAGTCTTGTGGCTTTTTTGGCTAATTGTGATCAGGAAAACCCAAGTTCCAATCTTGCCTCAGATGTTTACTAGCTGTGTGACCTGGGTTTGTTACTTAATTTCTCTCAGCCTCATTTTACTCCTCTGTAAATAGGAATAATAATAGGATCTACCTATGAGAGTTGTTATGAGGATCAAATGAGATAACACATGTAAAGAGCTTTGCAAAGTTATTGCAAAGATATTTCACATACACATACACAATACACACATAAATATTCACATACATATATGCACACGCATATATGCTGCCTATTATTATGTGACTCTAGATTCCTATAATTGTGAGTCTGCTACTAATCTTGGACAAGGCAGTTCAAAATTCCCACTTCTATAAGTAAAAAAAAAATTCATAGATAAAAATGAAGCCATAAAAAAAGATTTCTATAATGTGCAAGGGGTTGTTGTTCAGTTGTGTCTGACTCTTTCATAATCCCATTTGGGGTTTTCTTGGCCAAGATATTGGAGTAGCTTGCCATTTCCCTCTCCAGCTCATTTTTACAGATGAGGAGACTGAGGCAAACAGGGTTAAGTGACTTGCCCAGGATCACACAGCTAGTAACTATCTGAGTCTGAACTTGAACTCAGGTCTATCCTGACTCCAGACCCAACCCTGTATCCACTGTGCCATCTAGCTGCCCAAATATGGAAGGGTACTCTGCTTAAATAAAGCCAACTTTATGAAAATCTGAACTTTCCAAATAGACAAATGTGATTATTTGATTTGAAAATGATTTTTTTTGTTTTTTAAAAAAGAATTACCTCAAGTTTCCTTTTAAATAGAGTAATGCCCCAAGTTCTAAATCACCTAAAACATGATTTAATTTTTAAAAATAAATTCACTTACAACACTTTTAGGCACATATCTGCCATATTAATAGAGGTGCTCCCATAATTGGGGTCTGAGGAATAAAACAATAAGGGCAAAAAGAGAAACTGTCTTGTTTTTATTTTTAAGAATGAGTTATTCTCTAATTTTATGTAGTTCACAGAATTACAAAAAATTCTAGGTCTTTAATGGTTCTTATAAAGTAAGAGAAGGGAAGGGAAATAAAGACCTTAGAGTGAGAGAAATATAAACATGTCAGGATAAATTTTTGCAGACTCTTGTAGTATTTTCTTTTTTTTTCCCTGTAGGCCACTCACTTTACTGTGCACCATGATGAAGAGAAGGATGTGATAACAGGCTTGAAACAAAAGACCTTGTATGGAAGACCCAACTGGGAAAATGAGTTCAAAACCATTGCAAGTCAACACCCAAAGTAAGACAGCAACTCCACATTGGGAATCCCCAAGTCAACCTGAAACTGTATAATAGAGGGAAATTCTTCTGTTAGCCCTTTGGAACTCAGTATTACCTGTGTTATATAAACTTAGACACTGTCACTTTCATGGATCAGATAAGAGATAGTACTTAGGTAAGCTATTCTGTGGACTGGAAAACAAGGAAAGAACCAGATGCATTTGAGCAGGGCATAAGTGTAGGGAGGACATAAAACCCTTTTTACAAAGCCCAAAGATTCACTTTCTTTTAATTAAAGCTCCTTGGTAACAAATTGTTATTAAGGAAGATGTTAGAGTCAAGGGTTCAGTCTATATCTTCGTTCTTTATGACTATGAACGCCCTCCTTATTTGGACAGTCATTTACTAAATGTGTGTTTTTGGTGATGGTCGGTGGGAAACAGTGGGGATTAACCACCATCATTACCATAGGAGAAGTAACTGAAAGTACATGCCCTGCTTATGATAGAGCAGTAGGGCCCTCTTTTTATATTTTATTAGTGACTCAAGGCCTGGAAAACGTAAAGGGAAGCCCCATTTGCTAAAACACAGTTGATCCAAGAGATCCTGGAGTACCACTGATTGTTAGAGAGTGCCCACACTTCCAAAGGCTGGCTGTTCATTTATGCTGCAGCTCTTGAAGCTCCAGTTGCTAAATATGCAACTGCTCAAATGGGGATGGCTGGATGCTATAAAATGAGGCAGCCCTGCAGACTCACAAAGCAATAGCTATTTCCCTAATAGAGGACATTTCTACCTAGTTTCTAATTTTATATCATTCCATGGCAGTTATATACCTCTAAAGTTATGAATGTATAAATAGAGTTGAGCTAACAAAGGAAAAGTCCAGTTCATTCTCCCAAGTCGGTGGGAAAATGTGCCTTTGGCTGCTTGGGGATCTGGGGAAGGAGCCACTGTGTTTTGCCACTGGGGGAAAAAAACTGCTGAAGGACTTGGTATTATGGGAATTAACTCAGGAGCAATGTAACCCTTTTTGTACAAACCAATAATGTCTCCTTAATACTGGATGTTATTTTTTTTTCTTTCTCTCCCTAGTACCAGGATAGGTGTGTTCCTCTGTGGACCTGAAGCATTGGCTGACACTCTCAACCAGCAAAGTATTGCCAACTCTGATGCTGGCCCTAGAGGAGTGCATTTCATTTTCAACAAAGAAAACTTCTAACTCCTGCTCCATCAGGAAATGTGGGCATGAGCCTTATGTCCGGTCAGACAAATGCTGATCATTAATAGAAACAAACAAAAACTAGGGAAGCCTTTTACAGCTTTTATATTCTACCTATGTGGTAACCATTTCTGAAGTAGCATCCACCTTTAAACAACACAGAAGAAAACTAGTTGATTCATTTTCCTTTTGTTATTATGCATTATCTTGGTGGCTCCAACATATGCACAGGAAAACTGTCCAAGGATTTAGGAACCAGCTTGCCCAGATATTGACTCATCCCTTCGATGATTCAAGGAGGTTAGCAATGGAGCCTGCTCCAGACTGCTAATAGAGCATCCCAATTCCATAAACCTGAAACATTCGAGAAAAGGTTTAGTTCAGGCCTATCAGAATTAGGAAAAAATCATTTAAACAGAAAGCTCTTCAAAAATATTCCTATAATATTCTCTAAAAGGCAGCTAGCTGGCACTGTGGATAGAGCTCTGGGCCTTGAGTCAGGAAGACCTGAGTTCAAAACCAGCCTCAAGCATTTACCAGCAGTGTGACCCTAGGCGAGTCACTTTACCTCTTTCTGCCTCAGTTTCCTTAACTGTAAAACGAGAACAGTAATAGCACCTACCTTACAGGTTTGTAGTGAGGATCAAATGAGATATTATTTGAAAAGTGTTTAACACAGAACCTGGTAGGTGCTATGATAAAGGCATATTCCCCCCCCTTTCCCTGAATAGAGTACTGAGCTTAGAGTCATGAAGACCTGAGTTCAAATCTTGCCTCAGACAATGGCTATATGCACCTGAACAAGTCATATAACCTCTCTCAGTCCCAGTTTCCTAATCAACAAGGTGAGTATAATAATAAACCCACCTCCAGAAGGTTGTTGTGAGAATCAAATGAGAAAACATGTGAAGAGCTATGTAAATTCTACCTATTAGTATTATTATTTTTGTGTTCCTTGTACAGACCAGAGAAGGCTGATTCTCCTGCTTATAGGGACCTAGACTAAGTTAAGTAATTCCAGCTGTTCTTACGTGTTCAAATTTCAAGTGTGCAGTGACCATCAGGGGTAGTGGCCATTCGTTTTCTTGGATGGTGTGCACTAGGCAGTGTGGTGCAGTATTCTTGAGCAGACCTAGATTCATGCGTGATTTTGCCATGGTTTGGACTGAATTCTCCAGTCTGGTGCCTTACACATGCAACTGTGCAAAGGGTAAAACATCAGGACAATGAAGAATTAATTCAGTATGGTAAATTTCTTCATCAATGCTTATCTCAGCCCCTGTAAACCTTCTGTGACTTAGTTGATAATTTTAGGGTGGCACCTAAGGAATCTGGAAGTTGGCGACTTGCCCAGGAACACATACCTAGCAGGTATCCCATGGGGGATTTGAACTCACATCTTCTCAACTCCTAGCCCAGAGCTCTAGCTCTGCCTTCATCTCTAGACCCAGACAAGTATTCAGTAGATACTTGCTAATGATAAAATCAGGTGAAGGTGGACCACCTGTCCAAGCTTCCACAGTGTGACAGTGCAGACGGCAAGACTTCTCTCCTCTAGTCAAGGTTAACGAATTTGAAGGGAAGAATTTACAGTGGATGAGCTATGTAATAAGCCCGTACGATTTTAATGGCTCCCATGACCATGCTGTAAGCTTTTTTTCAAGTGTACATAATGTTTTAGTCATTTTTATCTGACTTTGTCACTGTCCTGAAATTTATAGTCTTCAAATTAATGAGGTAGCTAGATAACACTCAGGATAGAGCACTGAACCTGGAGTCTGGCCTCAAATCCTGCCTCATAGAGACAGCGTGACTCTGTACAAGTCACTTAACTGTTCTGCCTGCCTCAGTTTCCTCCTCTGTAAAAAGAGGATAATAATAACTCCTCCCAATGTTGTTGTGAGGATAAAATAAGTCACTATTTGTAAAGTGCTTTGCAAATCTTAAAATGCGGTATAAATGCTAGCTATCATTCAGTCAGTCAATGAACATTTATTAAGTGCCTATCATGTGCCAGGGACTATGCTAAATGCTTAGGATACAAAAAGGGCAAAAGACAGTTCCTACTCTCAAGGAAGTGACAGTCTATTCATAACAATTATTATTATTATTATTATTATTATAACGCCTCCCCCTAGTAGGTTTGAACAGGACATATTTTCCCCCGATATTTAAAGGAATGGTTACAAATTTAATCTCTGTCCCCCAGCCGTAGCTTGTTCCTAGAACTGTGCTCATTTCTGGGGAGGGAAAATGAACAGAGTTCCTTTGGCTGAGTTCACTCTTTGGACTACGAGGGTGTTTGGCACTCTAGAGGAGGAAGGAGAAGGGGGAAAGGAGAAGGAGGGAGTAAAGGTGGGAAAAACAGAGCAGGGAGGGGTAAATTCCAAAGGGAAGAGAGAAGGAAATTAGAAAGACAGTGTATTTCTAGGTTATGGAAAGAACGTTGGATTTCAAATCCCAGTTATGCTCCTCACTCACTATGTATGTCTCATTGGACAAGTCACTAAACCTCTTTGGCCTTCATTATTCCGTCCTGTGTAAAAGGACAGGGTTGGAATAGATCATCTCTAAGATCCCTTATGTCTCTAAACCCTGTGATCCTGTGACTTCTGGGAAGAATAGAAAAGTGTAAAAGAGAGAGAGGAAAGAGAAGTGGTCAGAGACCTGTTTTCAGAAGACTAACTAACTTTATGGTCAAGGTTTTCTACTGACTTTGGATAGCCAGGTATGCATTTCAGGTGCCCAGACCTTGAATAAACTTGAAGGTTTCACGTATGAACTGATTTTCTGTTCTTCTCATGTTTGAAGTTCAATTCTACAAAGAGATTTATGAAAGGTAGATTCAGATTAAGGTGTCATTGTCTCTTAATTTTCAATTAGGAAGAATTTCTTCTCCCCTCTCCACCAGACAAAACCCTTGTAACAAATATGCATAATCAAGCAGAAAAAAATTCCTAAGTTGGCCTTGTTCATAAATGTAGGTCTCTCTCTACCTATTTAGCCTGTCACCTCTCTGTCTTCATAATCAGACATCTGGAATCAGGATTGATCATTACATTGATTCGAATTCTTAAGTCTTTTCAAGTTGTTTGCTTTTATGTTGTTGCAATAATATAAATTATTCTGATTCTGCTCACTTCCCTCAGTATCAGTTCATATAAGTCTTCCCAGTTTTCTTCAAAATGGTTCCATTTCATCATTTCTTCTGGCACAATAGTATTCTACAGTATTTTATTGATTCGTATGCCATGCTTTGTTCAGTCATTCCATGACTGATGGGCATCCCCTTCATTTCCAGTATTTTGGCACTACCAAAAAAAGAATTGATTCAAATATTTTTTGCTAATCTCACTGAAGCTAGGATACTCATCTGATTTAAAATGGCTCATTACACTCTTTTATTTTTTTTTAAAAAAAGGGTATCTTAAGTACCTAATTGCATATTTTTCTTTAACTTGCTGCAAGCTATACTTAAAGCAACTAGATGGAACAGTGGATAGAATGCTGGGTCTGGAGTCAAGAAGACTCCTCTTTCTAAATTCAAATCTGGTCTCTGACACTTACTGTGACCCTGAGCAAGTCACTTCACTCTGCCTCAGTTTCCTCATCTGTAAAGTGAGCTGGAGAAGTAACTGGCAAACTACTCCAATATCTTTGCCAAATGGGGTCACAAAGAGTATGAAACAACTGAACAACAAAAGTTATGCAGAGAAAATTAACCCCTAACCTGTTTGGCAGGGATTCAATTGGACACATTTATCCTAACTTATAAGAACTGATTGGGTTATACCACATGTAAAACATCAAAGAGTTGTCCTAGTTTATTATTCTGCCATAGGGGTAGATTCCCATAGTAGATACTTGGATCCAGGCATTCCACTTTGCACATGATATCTAAGCTCTGGTAATGTATATGAGAGCATATTCCTTTTCAATCAAGTTAAAAAAAACCATGATGAATGCAATTTGCAAATCCTAGCTTCCTTTTTTTTCCTCTTTACCCTGGTGATATAACAGAAAACATCTTCATTTGTCTGTTGGAGAATTTTCCTTTGGAATGGCTAAGGGAAGTTCTAATGGTGATTAGCTACTTCTTATTGCTAAAAATATGGGAAGTAATCAGAAAATCTAGCATGTGATATAGGCTTTAAGATAAATAGTGGCTGTTAAATGCTTGTCATTGCAAACATTTAAGCATTTCTCTTCCCCTTTTACCCCTCATTTCCCTGCTAGTCACTAGCTTTTGATTTTGAGCATTTAATTAACAACGTTAACAGGCAGAAAATACATTCATGAAGGATCTAAGCTGTTGTCCTTTAAAACCATGAAAGTCTTAGTGTTCTGTGCTGTTTTTTTTTCCAAAATGAATTAAATTTCATTCAGAGTTTGGGATTCTTTTCCCTGTCAGTTTTTGTGTTGTTTTGTGAATGCCTATAAAGATTCATTAAACTTTCTATGAGACATTAAAGTCAAAGAGCCATTTTTCTTTGTCACTGATATTGTTGTGAAGGGTTATGGTTGTCCCTGTCTCAGTAGGCTTGTGACTCTGTCAGAGTTGATGAACTTTACAGCACCAAGACAAAAGACTGTCTTTTGGATGACAAGAGGAGCCTGAGTGAAGAGCACTCCATGAGCTTTCCCTTCTGTACACAAGCACAAAGGGTGCCTTCCCATGCCGTTAGTACTGTTGATGACTCAGAAATGAGACATCGTCACTACAGCTCCCTTTCTAGAGTTCTGACACTTACAAAGCTTCCATTGGCTGGTTTAGACATCGATTCAGTTTGTTGTTGTTGCCATTGAGTCATATTTGACTCTTCATGGCTCCATTTGGGGTTTTCTTGTCAAAGACACTGGAGTGGTTTGCCGTTTCCTTCCCCTGCTCATTTTACAGATGAGGATTCTGAGGCAAACAGGGTTAAGTGACTTGTCCAGGATCCCACAGCCAGTAAGTGTCTGAGACCAGATTTGAACTCAGGTCCACCTGACTCTAGGGCTGGCTAAATTTAAATTAGAGGTTGGTGAAAATGAAGATGTAATATTTTCCCCAACCAAGTTCATGGATCCTTCTGAACTCTATCACTCAGGTTAAAAACCCATGATCCAGAGCTAAAAGGAACTTCAGAGGCCATATAATCCATTTCCATCATTTTACAGATGAAGAAAGTGAGGTCCAGGGAGATTAAATGATTTATCCAAGGTCACATGAGCAGAAAACATCAAGGACCCCCGATTCTTAGACCCAAAGTTAGTTCTTAGTTCAGGCAGCCCTAAATTTTGCCTTCCTTTATTTCCCACTAGCCTTATTGAGGACTAAGTCAAAGAATGTGCTCTCCACTATTTAGGAATTAACTTTGTGCGTGCGTGTGTGTGTGTGTGTGTGTGTGTGTGTGTGTTTAAGAGAGAGAGAGAGTTATGTATGTAGTTTATACACACAATGAATCACTATAGGCAAAAAAAAAAGTGCATTACTTTATAAAGAAGTGAGTGAATAACCAACATACTTAAAGCTCATTTGCAGTTCAGAGA